ATATATATATAGTCAATTTTCTTTAACATTTACATTATTTTACCCATATTTTATTTTTATAATCACTATTTGAAACAAATCAGCACTTCAATCCTATTTTATAGAATTTCTTTACATTTAAAATCCCTTTAGGAAATGTAATGTGGTGTATAACAATCTAGATGTAGGGTTCAAAATTAAATCAATGATTCAAAATCAAACAAAATTGCTCAGGTGTAGCTTAAATAATGTGTCGGTGCTTCTTAGGTAAGAGATTCATCAGAATAAACAGCAAAAATCAGTCCAAGGCACTCAAATTTTTTCCACATTTTTAAAGGGCCATGGACTGATTTTTGCTGTTTATATCAACAATTGCTCATATAAACCTCAAGCACATTTATGACAAAATCTAACCAGTAAATACATGAATACAACAACAAATGCTGCTTTGACAGCTATCTGAAGCAAAAGGTTTAAGATTATATCTGATTTTTCTTTGTGTTTATTTCAATAAAATATTTCATAAGAGTTTCAGTTTTAGTTAGCTAAAACATAACTATTATACCCTGCTTCTAGAGTCATTAGAAAAACACTTATAATAGAGGAAATCTGAGCCTACAGTATAGGAAAACTGATGTTAATAACACAACAGCATTATTTCTGTTTGATTATTATTATTAAAATTATAAGATGATTTCTGCTGGAACAAACAGAGAAGCATTACTGATCTACTGTACTGTAAACCTATGAAAACATAATGGATTAAAGCATCTTATTTGGGCAGACGGAAATATATTCTCTGTGTGTTTGACTAGGGATTTCTGTGGTGAGAGATTAGTTATTATTATTCCCTGTATTTCAGACACTTAAGTCATATCTAGAAACACAACAAATCACAAAATACAAAAAAAAAAACAATGCCATACAATCATAAACATATTAACATCATTTAAAGCACACACACACACACACACATTTATTCCAATGCTTCTAATACTCAAAGTGGTACTTATATAAAATTTGATGTGAAGCTCTGAGTGTGTGTGTGTGTGTGTGTGTGTGTGTGTGTGTGTGTGTGTGGTAAAAGAGAGTATTCCTGACCTGCTGTGATGTCATCATCCGTCACATCCATCTCCTCCTCTGGGACTTTGGTCTCTGTGGGCGGGGCTTCAGCAGGGGGTGGGACTTGAGGGGCGGTCTCAGGGGCGGTCCCAGCTGCACATACATAAACACACAGATCCTCATCATCAATCCCTAAATAACAAAACATTTTCTTTTCTCCATGTCATTAGTGTGCAAAAGCTGCTTGTGTCGCATATATTAATAGTTTTAGTTACTTTTTTTATCTATTAATTTAGTTTGAGCCATTTAACTTTATTAAATAAAACTAAGTGGCAGAGTGGTTAGCACTGTGGCCTCACAGCAAGATGGTCGCTGGTTCGAGTCCAGGCTGGGTTAGTTGCCGTTTCTGTGTGGAGTTTGCATATTCTCCCCATGTTGGCGTGGGTTTCCTCCGGGTGCTCCGGTTTCCCCCAAAGTCCAAACACATGCGCTATAAAGGAATTGATCAACTTAATTGGCCATAGTGTATGAGTGTGTGTGTGTGTGTGTGTGTGTGTGTGTGTGTGTGTGTGTGAGAGAGAATGAGTGTTTCCAAGTACTGGGTTGCAGCTAGAAGGGCATATGCTGCATAAAACATATGCAGGAATAGTTGGCAGTTCATTCCACTGTGGCGAGATGTAGGAAAATGAATGAATGAATGATTATATGACATTTTCATAAAAT